CCGCCACTGGCTCAACAGCCTCCTACTCCGATGGTAAAAATGTTTGACAAATATTTCCCAATTTCATTAAAAAACAATTAAGACTTGGCGTTACTTACTTGACGAACGTTGTAATATTTATTAAATTGTATATTTAAAATTATATGATACATACACTTAATTTCGTTAAGCTGCCTTTTTATGAACAAATGAAAGTAATTTCTACTGTTGGTAGTTGTTGAAATGTACCCAAGCTTTTATAGAACTCTTTACTTTACGTAAACTTTGGAGCAACAGTTCGTTGTGAGTCTTCTCTCAAAGTTTGTGTTTCTCTGATACTCGAAAAGTTTTCGCTGCTTGAAGAATAACAACTACAAAAGTAATACATTTTAATAAACAAGTATTTATCTTAAATCTTTTATTATCATTGTTTGTGGAGTTTAAAGAACTAGGATGAGGGGGAGGTAATCATATCATTCAATTTTAACGACACGTTTTAGAGGTTTCATTTCGCATTACGTTTACCTGCCGACACTCGCCGCGTGTCTTTAACGACGGACACTAAAACTGACAACAGTAGTATTAAAGCTTTACTCTACTATACATAAACCAATTTAGAAGTTTTTGTATTTATTGAAATAGACGGTTTGTATATTACTGAAGTACAAAACGATGAAACGCTAAAGAGCATAGTATAACGTTTGTCGTCAATTTTCTTTATTAAATTTTTCATTACGTTGAGACGTACTTGTACATCTCAACGTAATGAAAAATAAATGTTGTATCCGCTAATTACAGCAAGAAAACAACGATTATACTCCATTGAATGTTCGTCGAGCAGTAATTTCATTAAAGCGGGTAAAGTTGGTAGTTTAAGAATCCTTTGGTGGCAGATGGCGCCGCCGCCGCCGCCGGCGAACACCGACACGACACGACACAGAGAATGTTATGCGAACATTTTAGAACATGATTAATATCAAGTTTGACGAAGTTTCAAGCGCAAGGATTTTCATAACTTAATTAATGTGTATGACATTAATATAAGTATCAAACAAAATATATTAAACAAGATTGTGTAAACTGGAATCTATTTCACTTACTTTTAAATTATATGTCGCTTTTTTCTATAAGATAAAAGGAATGTAAATTAAAAGAATCCTGAGGGGATATTAAAAGCCGGCATTCAATTTCAGTGGAACATTG